CCCCACCTCTAAAGACACCATGGCAGTCAGGCGGAGAAGGGGTACTTGTCGATTCCGCCCTCCTCGCCCTCCACCTCTCGAACACTTCAGACGCTCCATCCGACTTGTCCTCGAGACTGTCCTTAAATTCTCGAGCGATGAAGGGCTTTACGTTTTTATTTCAATAGCAGGCACTTCCAAGAAAGATTTCAGGCCATTAATCAGAAGCGCCTACGTGCAGGGGAATCCAGTGGAGCATAAATCCTGCAGGCGGGCGTTCAATTTCAGTGAGAGGTAAAGCTCATGGAGGTTGATCTGAAATTGGGTGGGAACACAACAGACTCAGAAAGGTACTGAAAGTCGGGCTCAGGTTTAACTAAATAAATTCCTGCCAACAGCAGCATTAGTTTGGGGGGCAGAAAATGTCCTTTTTAATACTTTTTTTAAAACCAATTTTCGAAGATTGAATTTCATCAATTCTCAGGAATGTTAGGGGAAATTCCATCGCAGATTGCTCTACTGTGCAACATTGCCTGTAATCTCCCGTCCTGGATCAAACCTTATCTCTCTCTTTATGCTGGGTCACTAGTTGAGTCCTATTTGTGATAATGTCACTTCATCAATTTCAAAATAGGAGGCAAATGCAGTGCCAGGTAAACAGGGCGCGCTGGAGGGACATTAAACTGCCGCGCTGAAACCTTATCGGGAGCCTTCCGAGAGGTAGAGTTTGGAGCAATTATGTCACATGTGTAGGTTAAGGACTTGGTTTCTCATGAGCCTCTGCTCTAGATGTAACTTTAGTGAAAGGAGATAAGATTTATTGACATCTTCATTGGAGGAATTGTTTGATACCTGGCTATTTATATTAAGTCCTCCCACTGACAAATGAGCTATTTAACACGTTTCCACACTAGTATTCCTGTATTATTTTAAGTATCTTTGCATTTTTTATTATGATTACACACTGAAACAACGGTAAAACTTGCTCAAGATAAGGAGTCATTCAGCTGTTTTCTTGTTTTTTGTTTTTTTTTTCCCCTAATACAGAGGTGACGGTCTACACCAGCCGCAGCACTGCTGAATTTGGAGCCTGAATCTAGTCCTGGCTTTGCTTACTACCTGAGTCATCTCAGGCAAGTCCCTTCACTTTTCTGAGCCTCAAGTTTCCTCATCTGTAAAAAGGAGGGGGCTGAGCTAGGTGACCGTTGAGGATCTTTCCAAGCTTGAAATTCATGATCCTGCCATACTACTGAGTTGTTATGGCAGCATGATGGATTTCAACTGATCCATCCTCACACTTCCATCATGAAAGAGAACAAATAATTCTGGCCATTCTATCATTATGTTATCCCTTCCTGAAATGCATAGGGCACCCCCTCTAGCCTCTCTCTTCCTCTTGTCCCAACTTCTTAAGAATCTTCCTTACAGGATAAAATATCTCCTAGGGTTATTATGAGAATCCAGTGAGATAATGCATATAAAATGAATTTAATTGCTATATAAAAGCAATCATTAAATTCTTATATTAATTCAGTCTTCATTGTTACATCTGAATTCCTATTTATTGAATTTTCTTTGACCAGGAGACAATTGTTTACTTTTAAAGTTATTTCCTCATTAGTAAGGAAAAGATCATTAAGAAAAAGAAGGCAAAATAAAAATGCAAGTGTTATATGTAAAGCAAGATGGGATTTCATTAGTCACAATTTTAATAAGATTACTTTGTACAACTATCATATTGCAGGACATGATAAATTGTAAGAAAAAATACGATTCCAACAGCTTCATCTCAGTCACTTGCAGTTGTTTTGAGGGCCTTAAAAGTTTCCGCAGAAGAAACAGATTGGCCAGTAATGTTAAAAGCAAATGATTTTTGTTAGGCAAATTTTAATTCGATTAAGGAAGGCAAAAGCCTAACCTGAAATATACAGAGACATGAATGAACAAGTGGAAAAAGGAAGAAAGAGTAAGGTGATATCCCTGTGATAATAAATGAAGAGACAAAGATTAATGAACAAATGAATGAGTGAAAAAAAAAAATTCAAGGTGAAGCAGTGTGTAGAGAGTTGGGCCTGAAGTCAGGAATTCATCTTCCTGAGTTCAAATCTGGACTGCGTGGCCCTGGGCAACTCATTTAACCCTGTTTGCCTCAGTTTCCTCATCCGTAAAGGAGCTGGAGAAGGAAATGGCAAACCACTCCAGTATCTTTGCCAAAAAAAAACCCCAAATGAGGTCACAAAGAATTGGACATGTCCAAAATAGCTGAATAACATAAAATTTACTATGGGCCAAGAACAATGCTAAGCACTTGAGATACAAAAGCAAAACATTCATTGCTCTCAAGGAACTCACATTTTTACCGTGGGATAAAGCACATAGGAGAAGGATCTGATGATGGGGGGAGTGAAAAAGCTGATCCGGTCTGGAGGGTGGTAAGGCCTGGAGAGCTGGACAGTGTGCTTACAGGGCTGATTAGGTTGAAGTTGGTTCTCACTCCATAAGGGTGATGGTGGAGATGAAGGTGTGAGAAAGAGGAGATGATCAGCATATGGCCAGGAGATCCAAGAGAGGGGAAAGGGAAGGGAACAAGGACAGGCTCCCCTCAACACTTGCTTTTGTAGGGCCCTCAACTGAGCAGGGTTTGGGCATTTAGATCGGGTGGGAGGCAGGGGGCACCCTGTGCCTGCTGGTACTTGGGTACAACCAAATCTCTAGAAGCGTCCTCAGAAAGCCAGCTAAGTGATCTATGAGACAGTTCATCGGTGGGGAGGTGGTCCAGGTGTTTTAGAAGAAATGGGGATGGAGAACCTGACTCAGGTGTACCAACCATGTTGTCATAGGCAAGAAGGTACCAAAGATTGACCATGGAACTGGAAGTTTCCAGCATGAGAAGCTCCAGGTGTGTGTGGGGAGAGGGTTGTCTAGAAAATGAACCAGTATAGGATTAGCAAATAGGGGTAGGGACTGTCACAGCAGCAAGGTGAGGCCCAGAAAACCCATAGGTTTTTCAGAATATTGTAAATTCCTATTGGAGATATCTAACAGTTCTGTTCCATTGCTTTGGTATCATTTTCAAAAATTAACTAGCAAAAAAAAAAAGAGAGGTATAGCTTTGTTTTGCATGTATAGTAAGAAACAGTGACTTCTTTGAAATACTATCTTGCATGTCATTAGAAGTAACTTTACCAAAATAGACAAAATTCCCCTATGGGCTTCATAGTGTCATCATATTACATTTTTTCTTTTCTAAGATTCTTAATAATGAAACTTGTTGAAGTTAATACATATTCAGATTAATTCCCTAGGAAAATAGTCTTCTCAGACAACATCATTATTAGAATAGAAAGTCTATCTCCCCCTTTCTACACCCGTACCTCAATTTCTTGTTGCACATTACATTCTACCACTACTACTACTACTACTACTACTAGTACTACTACTACTACTCCTCCTCCTACAAAGAGTGGTTTGGTGATACTGCTGTTAAAAATAGGGGATAAAGATCAGCTCTAAGTGATTTTATTGGTAAAAGAAACTACCCACAAGGAAGGCACTACTGGCTGATCCCCATGCCTAGAATGTTTTCCTCCTCATCTCTGCCTCCTAGCTTCCCTAGCTTCCTTCAAGTCCCTTCTAAAATCCCACCTTCTACAGGAAGCCTTTCCTGATCCTTCTTACGCTAGTGGCCTCTCTCTGTGGATTATTTCCTATTTATCCTGAATATAGCTTGTTTGTGCAAAGTTGTTTGCATGCTGTCTCCTCCATTAGATTATGAGCTCCTTGAGAGCAGGGACTGTTTTGTGCCTTTCCATATATTCCCGGCATTTAACATAGTACCTGGCATGTAGTAAGTACTTAAAAATTCCAGTTGACTGACTGGCTGACTTCAGCAATTTAGAGTCTCAGAAAGTTTCCTAGAGCATTGACAGGGTAAGTGACTTGTCTATCACCTGATTTAGGCCTTCAGCACCTCTTACCTGGACTATTGAAATACCTTCTAATATCTGACCTAACTCTCTCTACTCTAATCCATTCTCCTTACAGTTCCCAAAAAGAGATTCCTAACATGTAAGTCTAAGTATGTCTTTCTCCCCTTCCCCTAAACTCCATAGTCTTCCTTTTACCTCCACGATCACATATAAAGTCCTGCCGTTTGAAGCTCTTCACAATCTGGCCTCTTCCTCCCTTTCCAGGCTTCTTACTCTCTCCTTCCTTCCAGGAATTCTATAATATATTTAAATCCCTTTCTCTCTTTCCCTCCCTCCCTCTCTCCCTCTCTCTTTTCCTCCCTCCTCCCCTTTGATATAGATATATAGATTTTTCAATAGATAGATAGATATTTTATGCACCTGGTTATTTACATGTTGTCTCCTTCATTTGAATGTGATCTCCTTAAGCCAAGGACTGTTTTTATGTACTTGCAGTTCTTCCATACGACACTTGATGTCCAGTCTCCTTTCCTTTGCACTGGCTGCCCCTCATCCCTGGAATGCCTTTCTGGCTCACCTCTACTTTTTAGAATTTCTAGCTTCCTTTAACACTCAGCTTAAATTCTTTCCTGGAATTGCCACCTGCTAGACACTTCCCTCCTGGGATTACCTTCCATGTAACCATGTGTCTTCTCTCTCTCTCTTCCACGTATCAGTCTATCTATTTCAATCTGGGCTCAGATCCCATCTTGCTATTTACTGCCACTTTCACCTTGGTCAAGGTTCTTAATTTCTATGCCTTAGTTTCTTTATTTGTAAAATGATGGATTGGACTATAGGGTCCAAGCTCCCTTATAATTTGATATCTATGCTCTAATAATAAAAAGGAAAATTTTTTTTAAGTCATGTCTTTTGTGTCACTTTAATTTCAATTTTTGATAGGGCAAAGAATATGAACCATTTCAGACTATGCTTTCACTAATACTATACCTTTGGGGGGCATGATGCAGTGGATAGAGCACCGGCCATGGATTCAGGAAGACCTGAGTTCAAATCTGGCCTCAGACACATAACACTTACTAGCTGTGTGACTTTGAGCAAGTCACTTAACCCCATTGCCCAGCCCTGCCCCAAAAATAACTATACCTTTGACCTATGTCTATCCATGGCAAATGGCTTTAGTGGGCAGGGAGCTGATTCAGGTTTAAGTCTTGTCTCTGACACATATTAGCTCTGTGGTCTTGGGCAAGTCTCTGACCTCTCAGGGCTCTGGACAAATTTCTCCGGGTCTAAGCTGCAGAGAGAGGGCCACTGGATTGTAGAAAGCTTGAAGGAGAGAAGACTGTATAAGGAGACTGGAAACGTAGGAAGGGATGAGGTAGGAAGGTCCTTCTATTGATCTTGTAGGTAAGAGAGAGAGCTAATGGAGTTTTTGGACGGGGGCAGGAAGAGGGAGGTGACATGCTTAGACTTAAAGAAAATCACTTTGGGAGTTGTGTGAAGAACTGAATGGAGTGAGGAGAGACTTGAGGCAGGGAGATCCAATTAATAGCAATAATAATGGCTAGCATTTACATAGCACTCTAAGGTATATGTTATCTCATTTGATCCTCACAGCAATCCCATGAGGGAGGTGCTATTATTATTATTCCCATTTTACAGATGAGGGAACTGAAAGAAGATATATGACTTGGCCAAAGTTGTGCAGATGGTAAGTGTCTGAGGCAGGATTTGAACTCAGGTCTGCCTGACTCCAGCTGCAGTGCTCTATTTACTAAGCCCTTCATTGTCTATTGCAACAGTTTAGTTGAGAGTTGATGAAAAGCCACTAACGTGGCTATGTGAGTTGAGACAAGGGGACATATACAAGAGATGAGTAAAGACAGAAATATTAAGATTTGACAACTGACTAGATATATGGAAAGAGAGCGAGGAGTCAAAGTGGCAAGCCTAGGGGACTGTAGGGTCACAACATGGGACACCTTGGAAGGAGGGATGATTATGGCTTCTTTTGGGGGTATGCTGATATCTACGGGATATCCAGTCTGAAATGTTCAATGGGCAGTTTGTGATGTAGGACTAGAGTTTGGGAAAGCAGAGTCCCCTTCTGCTGTCCTGGGTTAATGAAATCAGCTGTGATCAGTGGCTTGGTCATAAGATTTGGAAGGCTTTGAAGTATCTTTACTTGGTGTGGGATTTTCAAGTGAAATATACAAATAAATGTCTTCTTTTTTTCTGGAAAACTTTGATCTACATACACTCGCTTGGAAGATAACTGATTTGTGCTATTTATTTCAATGGTACGTATGTCACAGGCATGACACTGTCCATCTGGTGTTTGAGGACTGACTTAGCCAACTGCAAAGAGGTTTATGACTAGGATGGCTGAAGGGTCTCTATGCGCAGTGACTCTTGTTGATTATCTAGGAAGTTTTAGGAAGGTTGCCTTTGATACCAGTGGAGGGAGTGCCCACACTGACTAAACCACACACAGGTCCTTCAGGTATTGAGAAGTAATTTCCTACATGTATGCATGTGTACACACACACACACACACACACACACACACACACACACACACACACA